AATTGACTTGGTTTGTTAACAGTTAATAATTGAGCATTCATCTGTCTTCATGCATCAGCTTTCTTGTTATCTTTAGGTTAAACATTGCTTTGCCCTAAGAGGAAGATGACTGAAGGAAATCTACTTTTAAATTGTTGCTGTTCTCTACATTCATATGAGGAGCCAGGGGAGCACATACACAGGGACAAGCGCTCGGAAGAATTGAGCAGTGGCTGTAAATTGGCGTGCTGAAAAAGATATATGATATGAAGTAGTGCAGTAATTTCACCTCCAAATGGGTAACATAAAAGCCTTTCCACTGAAGATATAAAACTCATAGAAGCTGCCAATGTTAATACAGTTCTGCTTCAAAGGATAACTATGAATTCCTCTCTTAAGCTCTTTTCATAGCTGAAGGCTGGGACTGTGGGAAGTGTGCTTCATTTTACTGGTTTGCTCTGGTTTTTGGTGTGCTGCAGCAGCTTAGGAGGATGGCAGCTGACTGCAAACTTTGTGATTTTTAGGAAACTAAGGCTCAGTGCTGTTTGTTAGTGCCCCACTTTTGGATGGGGAGGAAAGCCCTTCTCTCGGTGTTCTTTGGAGTAGTGCTACTCAGTAATGTGTGTGCTGTGACAGCAAATCTAAGATGTGTAGGAATTGCATATGCTTAGAAACTGAGAAGTTAAACTTGCTACATTTAAGGATATTCTCAAAGCCTGCCACGATGAATCACTGTCCCAAGAGGCTTTGGTGGTGATCCTCACCCCTGTGGGGAGAGCGTGGGTATAGTGCCATGGCTGATGTGCTGTGAGGAGGTTGCTTCATGACTTTTCTGCCATTGAGCTGTAGCTTTTGGCATCCAGCTACATTTCATTCCCAAGAAATTTCCTTTTTCTGCTTGTAGTGCCTTGTGTGCATGTGCTCTCTCCTTCTCTCTTCCCTGGTCTGTGTAACTTGGCATCCTGTAACTTGGACTTTTCTTCCCTTTCCCCCTTGCCAGCAATTGCTGCTGTTTGCAGACCTGAGGTAACAAAGCGGTTGTAGAGTGCTGGTTCCATAACTACTGATGTCTGGTAGGAAAAGAGTCTGCTGAGATCTCAGTGCTGCTGAACAGAGGCATTTTATATCTTCTTGTAGTAGTTTTAATAATTAAAAAATAAACCAACAAAAAACCCTACAATTCCCCTCCTATTTTAGCAAGCCAGGCCAGAAGCATCTTTCAGGGTGAGCAGAGTTAATCTTCATCATTGCAGCATTGACTGACAACCTGGAGGATGATAATGTGTGATTTTTTTTTTTTTTTTTTTTTTTCTGGTGAGCGGGGGAGGAGAGTGGAAATTGCAGTTTCTCTACTAATTGTACTTTAGATGTCATTTGTGACAATTTCATATTGTCTAGACAGAGACAGCAGAGCAATTGCTTCCACAGAGCCTAGCGTTAGCCTGTTATATATCTGGGTAGCAAAAATGGGGGGTGTGGGAGAGGAAGAGGGTGCTCTAAGCTCCAGAAAAGATTCGGGAGTCAAGCATCATCTACTGAAGTGTTTCAAAGTAAGTTGCAAGCAATACACATTTCTCTTCTTCTTGCATGCTTCTCTGTTGGAAATTTAGACCTTTAGTGGCTAGCATTTCCCTGTAACAGAGCTGCTTCTGTTCATCCATGGATGATGTTTATCCTCCTTAACAGAGTTGCTCCAGACCTCAGCATTTACCGTGGTAGGCTATTGAGCTACCTTACACTTCGGCTTACTGAAAACAAATAGTCTGTGACTCTTCTGGGATTTCAGGTGGCAAAAGCTATGAATGCGGCACCTAACACTTGATGGAGTGCAGCATGACTTACTTCAGGTACATTTGTCTGTGCCTTCCTGGGGGACAGTAGGTTACACTACCAGTGTCACAGATGGGACACTTTATTGATGATTTTAGCAGTGTATCTGTTATTGAACCCATTTGTCAGTACCAGATGCATTTGGATCTGCAGCCTGAGCCTCAAGGGCTCAGTCTGGAATGAGTTACTTAAGTAATATGTTTTATTTGTGTTTAGCACTCTGGTTTCAGTATGGATATTGTTATTCTCTGGAGCATTAAGTGCAGAGATGGGCTATCTGCATCTCATGAGATTGGACATTGCCTTATTTTGGTTTTTGTCTACCTCATGTATTTATAACCACATGTTCATTGCTCTGTGATCTGAGAGGGCACAGTTGCAGGACAAATAAGAACTACCAACCAGGCTTAAAGTCAACTATAGTTTTTACTAGTTACTGTTAACTGAATTATCCTTGTCCACCTGATATGAGTGTAGCCCTCACATGTCGCACATCTCTGTGTGAGACAGTGCAGGAGCTGAGTTTGATCCTGGAAGGCTCTGCTGGAAAGGCTGCCTTAGCTGAGACTGTTCAATTCAGGCAGCACAGTTTCAGAGAGGGCCCTAGGGGGTGTGTTTAATGTCAACCTGCTCCCTACAACCCCATAACTACTGGTTGTCTTAGGGTGTCCTTATGGTGAAGGAGGTTCTCCTAAAGCAGCAGCTCCTGCTGCTTTATGGGGTAGAGTTGGAGGCTGTTACGGTCAAATTGCAGGGCCATGGGGCATGTAGGAGTTCTGTTTACCTGGATATCCAGCCATCCTTTAGCTCAGGAAACTTGGTTTGTGTTTTACTAAAGTAACACATACCAGTTCTCATCTAAGGTGCCAGGTACCTGGTAGAGCAAGGCTCTTCAAGTATTTATTTCAAAGATCAAATGGGGTGTAGAGGTGAGAAGTGTAGATTCCCTGAAGTGCTGTTCCCAAGCTATTTAGAGGATAGACACTGAAAGATTGGGAAAGAGGGTGGCATGTAGAGGTGTTTATAGGTGCTAAGACTTCTGACAGGGATGATGAGTTTGATTATTCGTGTGTGCACATTACCAGGACACCATAGGCATTGCAGGAAAATGACATTTGCAGTTGCATGTAGGTTGCTCACAGCTATGAGGAGGCAGCTGCTGTTTGTAGGGCTGTGGCCCGGCCAGGATCTGTGTGCTGTGGGAGCAGTTTCTCCCCAGTTAAGTCAGTGATTAGGCAGGATGGTCCAGGAGGGTGGCAGCCTCAGCACGTCCAGGCTGCTTGCAGACTCCTGCCTTTGGAGTGTTCTGCATAAGCAGCTCTGAAGAGCAGACTTCTAAAAAACATGTTGGCATTGCAGTGGCAGTAACAGTCCCTGAACTCTGAGATAGTGGTTCAGAAAGGGACCATCTGATTGAATAGGTAGAATATCCCTTCTGCTAATTTTAATCTATCTACCTTTTTCCCCCTAGAACAAGTAAAAGCAGTTTACGTGTGATGCAGGTGATAGTTGTACCTCATAGGCATAGGACTTCAGGTATATCTCATGAAGCTGTTGCATGGCTAGTTCTGGATTAGCTGCTTTTGCATATATTGACATATGTTTGGAGCAGGAGAGAGGGTTTGATAAGGCAGATTGAAGTATGATAACTTTCTGGGGAGCCAAGGGATTCTTAGTATCTAGCAGTGTTGAAGGTTAGAGCTTTTGACTCGATAACCTGGGGAATTAATTAATCTGAAAGTTTTAAGAGATTTAGTAACTGTTCCTGAATAAGACAAATGGTTGCCAAGCAACTTCATGCCAGAGAGGACAGGATTTCTTGCCTTCTGTAGAGTCCCAGTGCTTTGCAGCAGGTACCGAGTCTCTTGAGCTGACACTTGCCTTTTCCAAGTAACTGGAGCGGTCTCTTGCCATTTTCTGTATTCTACATTTATAATGTAAAATTGAAATAATACTTATTTTTATTTTTCTTATTGCTGGAAGGCAGTGAAAACTTGTTTTGAGATCCTGAGGGGTGGGCTGCTGCCAGGAAACACATTAATTTGCATTGCTAGTGTCTTTATCTGGCTAGAAATGGGAAGTTCAGCGTGGATTATATCTGGTCCTTCTTCCTGCTTCCTGTGTTGATGCTTGCTGTCCTGCATTGCAAATGCTTAACTGGGAGTTAGAATTGTGGGATTAAGACTGATATGTTCAAATCTTTCTTGCCAATTGTGTGTGTAGGTGAGTAAGACAGATGCTTTTCTGGACCTTTTTGAATTTCAAACCACAACAGTTTTCATTCAGTTACAAAGACTGGAAAACAAAATATAGCAGGAGTTTGGATGCAAAAAGACTTGAAAGGGATCTCAGCAGCCTTATAAACTTTGGTAGTTGATTTTTCTACTCTTTGCACCCACCCCAAAACACCTCTTTTGTGTTAATCTAATGGATGCAACAGGCTTGAATGAGTCAGTCTTGAAACAATGCCATCCTCTGCTTTATGACAAGAAGCTAGATAGATGTGCATGTAGAAGCTAGGGTGGAGGACATCTTCCTGCTATATACTTTTGATTCTGCTGCCTTCATGACTCAGACTTACTTTTTGCATATTCAAGCTGTCTGGCTGCATTTGCATACATTTACTTCTTGAGTGACTATTTCTCATCTCTCCCTGTGGCTGATTAAGATACAGAGGAAATGAACATTATTATTTCTTTTTGTAGCTGAAAACCTCTCTTTCAGAGCCTTGAAACTAAGAATGAATGTCTTACTGTGAATAAACACCAGCAGTGCCCTTAAAGCCCACATGCTGAGGTGTGTTCTTTGTCCCTGCTCCTTGGCGCATTCCCTATGTAGCCACCTTTGAGTAGGTAAGAGTTTGACAGATGGCCAATGCAGCAGTGTTATGGACCTAGGAAATCAGGATGTCTTACCTCCAAAGGAGAAGTATCATCTGCCACTTTCTTTTGAAACCTGGAAGCGGGTTTGGGACCACTCTTTCTTACTCGAGGTGTTCTTTCTCCTGTGCAGTGAGAATATTACACTTGGAATAGCTGTATGGTGAAAACACATATGCCATCAGTGAGTGATTCAGTGAATTCTCTGCACTGATAACAGAAATAGTCTTAGGAGTTTCAGAAAGTAGGGCATAAATAGGGAAGATTTTCCTGAATGGTCTTTGACTTCCATCATTTGTTTTTCCTTTCTAGGAGGTTGCTAGAGTCTTCCCTCATTTCGTTATCTCGCTATGATGGAGCAGGGTCCCGGGAACATCCAATCTACCCAGACCCAGCCAGGTAAGAGCTAAATGCAATCTAAAGGCATTTAAGTTTCATAAACAAAAGCGTAACTTCAGTATAACTCACTGAATGCTTTGGGAATGGTTCATATGTTGCACCCATCTCCTCCTCTATGACTTGCCATGGACACAGGGTGCAGACCAAATAAGAAGATGCTGTTAAGTCTGGGAGAGAATGAGGAAAAGAGGAAGAAATTGCTGTTTGAAGTAAGCAGTTAAGGCTTCCTGAAATCATTTGGGATGGAGAACACTAGGTGGCAAGCAGGTCCAACAGTAAACGAGATGATATCAATAAATTTGAAATCTCTCTTGAAGAAAAATGAAGAAAAACCAAATAGCCAATTCAGGAGTAAGGGAGAATGAAGTCAAGGCAGGTGGGAGCTGGTGTGAGCAGACAACGTGCTTGGGAGGATGGAATGTTTCTATAAATGTATCAGTATGAGAAAGAGCATAACCAGGATGTTATGTATACTTCACTAAGAACAAAATACTGACAATTATTTCTGAAGAGTCATGAATCACTGACATTAGACATGGAAACACCTGTAGTGCTGCTTAATCTTCAGAAGAGGTGGGAGTGTTTCAGAGGACTTGAAAAAGCAAACATGGCAGAGTTATCAAAAATGGAAAGGGGTGATCTTTGCAGTTTCTACTTGGTGAATTAAGAAAGCAACAGATGGGAGAATGTGACCTACAGACTCTGTCAAAAGAAATGATAGAATCGTGAACAGCAAGCAGCTTTGGAAGCTTTCGAAGAATAAATCGTGACAAATAAGCTTCCCTTAGATGGGTTTAACAAAGCTATGAATGAGGAAAATTCACTAAGTGTTAAATATATCTGCTTTAGCCAATTAGGGAACCTCTGGCATAGCCGCATGAATTGAAGGCTATTAAGATTTATTATAAAGGAGAGTACAGGAATACCAGTGTATGAAAATGAAATATCTAAGTTGCTGAAGGAGGTTTGGCTTTTTGTCTATTTATTTATCTCACTTTTTTACATCATTAACAACAAAATCTGCATTTTTATACAGATGATGCTCTAAGTACAAGTTCTGAAATAAAAGGCTATTTTGCGAACTGGCCAGACTGCATAATGATGCTGGTAAACAACTCCTTACTAACTATGTCTGTAGATAAAGAATAGTGCAGGTGAAATCTTATATTAGGCTTTTTTCCCTGAAAGTTGCTTTGCAAAGATAAGTAAAAGACTCAGGAATGATATAAATAAACTGTAGCGAGGGGAAATTAAGGTGGAGTATGCTTTCTTATGTGTAAGGGTGTTGGGAAACCAATCTGGGTAACTGCACAAGGTCTTGGCGACAGCGTGTCACAATGATGCTGATAAATGTAAAAGCTTTCTAAATGGCAATTGATTTACTGACAGGTAAAGGAACTGATTTACCTGGAAAGATGAAAATGATATTTTACAAATGTTAATTAAAAGGTATTACTAAAGTCAGGACAATTTGTGAATGCCAAGAGCTGCTAAGTGGCTGAAGTGCATGATTCCTTATTTCTGGAATGCATAATTCAAATCGGGCAGATTTGTTCAGCAGAGATTATAAGAACTCATTCTGGTGCTCTGGGAGCTGCCTTTTAAAAAGAAAAGGAGGGCCTGCCTAGGTTACTGAATTCTTTCTTTTTTCTTCTGTCAGATACCTGCTATGAAGAAGTTCAATAAAATACGTGAAAAGGGGTCAATGCCCCAGACATCTCCTAGCATAAGGAGCATTGTCTGAAATATTTTTCAACTCGAAGCCATTTTTGGAGCAATATGATGCTCTTCATGTGACAGTTCAAGTGGTTTTAGGTTGTGGTAGAAGCTACAGTAGCTTGAGTTTGTAAAGAGGTTTGAAAGAGAAGTCCAGTGTCGAAATCTCTTCCAAGAGGGTTAATTTGTTCCAGTGAGCGTCACTGCCCTTTTCAGAGGATGAGATTCATAGATGCATAATCGACATGATCTGAAAGTTTGAGTGGGGTGAGATCAGAGTCTTCTTCCATAAACCTCACTGGTGTGTGAGGCTAGTAGGATCTTTTTATCTGTCCCTTTAACTTGTTAGGAATTGAGGATATGCTTAAAAGAAATGTGACTGCATTTTGAACTTTTTTTGTAGCATTGTAAGTTTGTAAGGGAAAAATACGACTTTCAAATGTTCTTAAAGAACAAAGTGGGAAAGTGAAACAAAGGTGAATTAAATATAATAAACATAAATCTATAGATGTCTGTGTATACGTGTGTTTAAATATATGTTAAAAATATACATACCTCCTTAAGACCAAGCTGTCTCAAACAGTTGTGGGTTTTTTTCTGTATTATTTCTTCATTTTAAACTACATGATCTGAAGAAGTTATTTCTCAGAGAGTACATGTGTGGTAGTTTTGTTTCTGCATCCACTGTCTGTAATGCTGTCATACTTGAATAACCTAGGTCAGGAGTGAGGCAGGGAGAACCTTTTATGAAGCTTCATCAGGTTTAGAATGAATATTCTGATGTAGATTGCAGCAGTCTTTCTCGGTGCCCTTGTTGAACTTCTCCAAGGTCAGTTTGGCTGTCCTGTCTTTCTCTGCAGTTTCCATATCTACTGAGCTCAGAAAACAGTCTGCAGGGGAATCAAATAAAGCTGTCATCAAAGAAACCTACATTATTGTTTTTAATAGAAATGCTTAAAAAGATGCTCTCAGACTGCCTCTGTAAAGCATCACAAGGGTGTTTGGTAAGTGCGTTCTCTAGGAAAAGATCTAAGCTGCTAGAAAGTTATTATGAAAGAGACTTTCAGGCCAAATATTGTGAGTTGAAGGATTAAGTGGAATGGAAGCAACCAGAAGCTGGTGAGTGCTACCACTAAGAAGTGGTGGTATGTATGCCACCGTAGGTATACCTAGAAAATAATTGACACCAGTCAGGTAACCCCTTTGAAACATGTCTGCTGACTGAGAGATGTTTGGAGGTGTGAGTGAACATCCTGGGAAGCAGCATCAAGGCAGGGTTGATGAGTGGTGTTGGTGCTTTTGAAACGTTAGGGAACCTGGGGGTCTGCACAGCAGCGTAGTGCTCTTGGGTGCAGATATACCAATTCTTGTGGCTTTCTTGGGGAACTGGGTCTAGACATTTCCCAGAGCACTTCCTTCCCCCAGTTCCATTTCTCACTGTCCAGCCAGCAGCACTGGGTGCCTAGAGGAAGCACTGCCTCTCTATGATGTGGTTGTTGGATGAGATAGAAGCTGTTTGCTTCTGGTTTTTGCACTGCAGTGTTTCTCCCACTCAGCGCCTTGTTCTGTGGTGGTCACGTATGGCAGCATAGCCTCTCCTCCAGTAAATGGGCTCCAGTCACTTCAGAGATGAGGATAATTTAGCTCCTTGGTGTTGTCAAATACAGCCCACTATCCTGTGGATCAAACTTGGTTGAGAACTACTGGATAACCTCTGTCTGTGTTTTGCCACTGCTTTATGAGAAGCACAGGAGAGAAATAAACAAGGCTAGGCAGCCTGCTGTGGCTGGTGTGTCTTTAGCCAGCTGGTAGACTAACTTTGGTCAGGGGCTGATTTACAGTTGTGCTTAATAGCTGAATGAAGAGATATGTTTAATATTAACCGGTGTTTCTTAGGCTGCTTTGCAGCTTTCTCCTCTCTCCAGGACAGCTACATCTCTTATGCTGGCTCTCAGCTCTGGTTCTGATTTGTGTCATAACTGTATTCCAAAGACAGATAAAGCCCAACAATTTCTTTCTCTTTTGCATGCACTCATTTGCAAAGATTAATTCTTTAGCCTGTTGCTTGGAATATCTTCCTGCCCTTTTGTAATTTATCCCTTGCACCTTCTCTCTGTGGATCAGATTAAGCTTCTTGTCGTGTCTTTAGAAATCTTTTCTTCACAGTCCGTCCAGTCTATATACCATGTGCTGTCAGGAAGCTGATTCTGGCATCTCAGCATCCATTATGGCCAATCTTTGTTGCCTACTGTTTCTTGTTCTAACAAGCATCATTGTGTTTTCTTCTTAGGATGTGCTGCACTGCATAATTTGAGAAGACTAAATGTCTACAAAACTCATTCTTCATCTCTTTCTGTAAAACTCTCCCTTGGTGTGACTTTAGCAAAGAAAAAAAGTTTCAGTGATTATACTGCTGGACTGCTGAGACCACTTTGTTCATGTTTTCTAGTGTTGCCTTGTTTCCACTTTCCTTTCTTCCTCTATATGCACGTATTACGCTGTAGACTTATTTTTATGCATACAGAGAGGCTTTGGCTTGCGAAAAAGGCCAAAGAAGAGAACAACCCCTCATGTATGAGTGTGCTGCTGTGATGCCTTACTTTTTTTTTATTTGGCCTATTAAGTCTTCGGGGGAGTAGGGAGAAGTGTTGTGTTTGTACAGCGAAGCCTTCTGCGTTACATAAGCATGAACAGCTTTAACTCATCAAACAGTGCATAAAAGATCCAGGAGGAATCCAAAACAAACTGAGTGTATGGTTCCCGTTACCCTCTTGCTACTTACTGAATAGGGTTTTAGACCCATGGGCCTGTAGTCTGTCTGCTAAACTTGCCTCTTTACCAAGATGGCAGCCTACTGTGGTACAGGGAGCTTACCTTGGGGAAGAGATTCTCTCCTTGTGTCTACATGACTTCTAATTTCTTTCTTTCTTGCCATCTTCTCTTTTGCTTATGTGCCCTGAATGTATAGCAGAATGAGAGACTGAGTGTCTTTGGGTGTCTGCAGCCAAAACAGGATTAATACAATTTATCCCTTGAAAAATTAGTACATTTTTTTTTTATGCTGCTCTAGGGAACAGTCTCTAGAAATACTATTAAATGTAGCTTTCCATTGAAATGTGGTTTAGGGATAACAGAGTGTTTTATCAGACTCAGTCTGACTGAATGCTGCTCATGCTGTGGTGGCTGCGAAACTTACCCATATACAAGCAAAATATTATTCCCAGTATATTCCCATAGAATCAGCACAGCTCTGGGAGGGAGAAAAGATAGAAGTCTTCTAACAGTCATAGAATCAGTGATGATTCTGGAGTTGCATTTTTATTGCTGGTTGTAGTGTAACAGAGTGAATGTGTGTGGTATTGGTCACTAATAAAGTTGAATGTATCGTCAAGAGTCTTCATGGCTGATGGTGATGTCCACTGTAAAACACATTTAGCTTGAAACACTGATCTGAAGATGGGTAGCATTTCTGTAAGGCAGACAGGTCACTTCTCTTTGTGATTGCAAATGAGTATATTTTAATCTCTAGACTATCCTCTGGAATTTACTGTTCATTTATTTTTCTTTATTTAAGGCTGTTCACACTTTCATTTGTAGATTAAAATTAGTGCTGCTCTCTCCATTATCCAGTCTCTTGTCCATGGTGCCCTTATAGGAAATGAGTTAGTATTTTCATGACCCTGGGAAGTACCAGTCTAGTAACTTGAATTGAATACAAAAGAGTAAAATCAAACACATGTATGGAATGAGGTAGAGAGCTAGAAGTTATAGGAATAGACATCTTAATGTCTAATTACCTGGGGAGGATTGTTGTCATCTATTCTCCTCACAAGCTACAGTTCAAGTATAATCTAAATAAGACTAAAGAAGTGATCATTCAAGCATCTGGACTTTAATAGTGAGTAACTGTACCACAGAAAGCATGTGTCCTTAGAAGCAAACTTCTCTGTGCTGTGGATGAGCTTTTTGTCTATAGGTACTATATAGTGGTTCTGTTTGCACAAGAAGGAAATCACATGGGAATGTGTAAAGGGAAAATTACTGCTACTGGCTTTCTTTATTCACTTTGTCTTTTACTCATGGATAAAATGCAAACAGCGAATTGCATGATATGCTGTTACTGTCCTGGCATTTGGAGCTCAAAAGGAAAACCAGGACTGGTTGTTGTTCTGTACCTGTGTAACAAGTCTGTGTATCTCTCATTCAGGTTGTCTCCTGCTGCTTATTATGCTCAGAGGATGATCCAGTATCTTTCCCGGAGGGACAGTATTCGACAACGCTCTATGAGATACCAACAAAACCGTCTCCGCTCTGCCTCCTCCTCTTCTTCCACTTCAGAGAACTCAAGCCCATCCGTAGAGGGAAACGATCTGGAATTTGAAGACTTTGAGTAAGTGTGCATGCTGCTGTGTCCTCTTGCTTGAGTCTGTTGTCAGCACAAGACCGCTTTGTGGCTTCCCACTGTTTACCAATCAAAGACATCTCAGGCTTCCTGTAGGAACAGTTTAAGTTAAGTCATTCAATAAATAATTAGAGCAGTGATTGCTACAAATGGGTCTTGTCATTTCTGTTAGGAAAATTAAGAATGCTTTAGGCTACCTTCAACACATCAGGCTATCTCAACCAGATTTAAAAGACTGGTTAAATAAAGAAAAGAAGAATCTTTCTCTCATGGAACAGATGGGGAGCTAAGGGTTTATTAGAGCTTTCAAATATTGAGAGAGAACAGGAACCACTAAGAGTCTTTAATACTGAGTAACTCTGTCATGGAAAGCATGTGTCCTTAGAAGCAAACTTTCCTGTGCTGTGGATGAGCTTTTTGTCTATAGGTACTGCGTAGTGGTTCTTTGGTCTAAGGCTGTAAGAAACAGACAGATGTGCTCTGTTACTTTTGCTCGTTCTATCTGTACAGCTTTGTCAAATTAGTTGAAGTTCTTGGTATTGTGTTTTTGGAGGACTTGGTGATCATGAGTCTGTGTTAAGGCTTAGTTTCCTGGAAGGAGGACAAACGGCCTCTTGTGTCAGAGTGAGGAGTGACTCTACATCCAGACCTTAGAAGACCACTGCCGTGAGCTGCTGTATTTCTTTCTGAGTGGTTCTCCTGACAAACTTTTAAAGTCTGCTCTCCAGCGTCTGCTTTTGGACTTCTAGTGATACCCAGTGTAATCCCAGCAAACAAATTTATTGCAAACCCTTTCCAATAAATGTAGTAATGGATTGCTTAGATGGCATGGAGGCTGGAAGCTCAGGAATTTAAATTAAAATCTATTTTAGAAGGAAAGAGAATTTGATCTTTCTAGTCGGTGTTCAGTCACTTCCTTTTAAATATGGAATTTTCCCTGGGTACTTTTAAGTATTTCACTGGTTTTTTTTGCCTCCCACCTTCTCCCCTTTGTGTATGTTGTGATGAAAACATAGTGTGATTCTGAGCATGGTCATAGAAGTAGTCTACAGTGGTAGTGTAGTAGGGACGTGTGTTTGATGGGAACTGTGAACTCCTCAAAAATTTGGGCTTTTATATTGCTGCTGCCAGCAGAGGATGCTGTCAACTTTGCTACTATCGTAACGCTCGTGTTCACTCGCTGCAGTGGCACATACTTGAGATGGCATGTTGTTAAAGCTCCATGTCCTTTGTGTCAGGGGGAAGTCCCTTTATGAAGGACACTGGTAACACTAGCTATTCCCAGAAATGCAAAATACTAATCCCTTTCTCACTTTTTAAGTGGTGGTAGCCTTTTTTTCCTCTTAGAATGTTGTTTTGTGAAGCTGTCATTTCATGTTTCAGCAATTGAATATTCAGAAGTACAAGGTGAGTGAATGTCTTCCCCTCTCATTGTGGCCTTGTTTGCATAAGATGTAAATGAGGGGAGATTGTGCAGAAGAATCACTGCATAGTAGCTTTTCTAAGCAGCTTCATGGTCTGGAAGATGAGAAATATGGTGGCTTTGTGAGGTGGGGCTCACAAAAGTTCTAGAAGCTCAAGCATAGACCTTTATTTCTGTTATTCTGTTTTGTCTGAGGTGCCTTGTTCTGCTGGGAAAATAAAAATAGTAAGTTCTTCATTCAGAGAGTTGGGCAAAAGCCTGCAGAGAAGTGTGTTCCCCTGCAGATAATGCTCACACAGTGAGAGCACCCAGTCAGGGAAGCAATTCAATCAGCCATGCTAAGGTTGTCTTTCGTTTCATACTGAGCAAAAAAAGCGTTTATTCCTTAATGTGCAGTGGCTGAATTTGTTGGTTGAATATTTCATACTGAATTCTGGTCTATGCATTCAAGACATTCTGCCTTTTCCCTTCTCTACTTCGTTATTTCTCCTGGCTGATGAGAGGGAGCTGCTGTGCGGGGGTCCTTAGAGCTGGAACTTCTCGTGACTCATTTGATTTCTTCTGCTGACACTTCACAATGAAATCTCTCATACAGAATTCTTGCTTCTCTTTTTGGCTCCTGTATCCCCCCCTTTGCTTGCTCATATGAGCAGAGTCGTGTATTTCTTCATGTGTTTCTTTCCTGCCCTGATTTAGATGCTCTGGCTTCTCTGCTTCTCCAGATTTGATGTAGGACAGGGAATTGCTGCTGTTTCTAGCTATCTGCAGCTCATGCTTTTCTCCTGGAAAATTCAGTGGGGCTTTTTTAATATAAAAGCCATAGCAAATTGCCTTGATGTTTTATCTTTCTAAACTGGTTAATGTAATTGATAAATATTCTCTCTTCTTTCATTTTCCAAGAGATCAGGAGAAAGAGATAAAGGGCATTAGACACCAGTTGGTTTTACTACACATGGAGCTCTGGGCAAGGAGGAAGCCCTGTGTGTGTGCAAGGGAGACTCTCGGCTCTCAGTCTTTTGTGGGGTTCTGAGGGTTTTTTCTCATTTAAGATTCATTTTGTATCTTTTCAGCTTTGCTTACCTAAAGCCCTTGTAAGGGGCATGAAAAACGTGCGCTGTTGGTGTGCCTATGAACTCTAAATTTAAGCTGAAGCCTGTCCTCCAGTGTGTCAGTCTAATGGTGTCATTTTCTTCCTGCAGTTTCTCCAGAATCTCATTAGAATTAATTCATAAATACATTTAGCTTGTGATAACAGTAGCAGTAGTGTTGGTCTGAGAATGTGAAGTAGAGTGGTTTTTATAGGTATTAGTAATATTCTTCTATTATACCAGCTTTAATGGGCAGGGGAGGAGGAGGGAGACACAGCTATACACCTGTGTTATCTCATTTAATAAGATGTTATCTCCCTCCATGCACTGCCTGTGTTTAATCTGTCACTGTTGTCATCTCACTGCTTGTTGAATACAACTGACAACTGTAAACTTAGTCATGTCTGCATGAAAGCATTTAATATGGTTTGTAGTATATATACAGATTGTAATATTAGGTTATTAACAGATAGATTGATATGTGTGGGTTTTAAGGTTAGTTTTAGCAGAATCCTAAGCTAAAATGAAAAGGCTTCTTGTATTCTAGGATAAGAATCTCTGAATGGAGAAGGGTATCATTTTAGTCTTCCAGCATAACTGGTAAAAATAGATTCTTTATAGACGAATCATAGATGTTGAACTTTCTAATTTCAAGGAGTGTTTTGAGTGCCTTACATTTGTATCTCATAGTAAATTTAGATTTTTATAGCTAAACTATCTTTTCTTTTGACTTCTTCAACAAGTTTGCCTGGGCCTCTTCTAGAGACTTTCCTTAGTCTAGAAGAGCTCTGTTGCTGGAGGCTGTGGGTGATGCTGCTAGGACTCCTCGGATAGCACAAACTGTTTTTTTTTCATGTGTGATTCTAAATCTGTAGCCATAATCAGAATGTGAAGGTGTTTCTGCAGATGAATTCTGGCCATCTATGTCCCTTTTTGTCTGCAGTAAGTGTGGGAACAAATACAGGTTCATTTTATCTGTCAGACTGAAAAGCAGATATATAGGACAGTGCACCAGCTTGCTGTGTGAAAGCCTTGCTCTAATCCTTCACTGCAGTTCTATAAAGGCTTTCCAGCCAAGGCTAAAGGTGTGACTGTTTCTGACTCCTCTGTCTGCTTTTGAGGGTGGGCTGCCTGGTAAGATACAGCTGTGAAGGAGCTTGGACATTACGCTCTTCTAATGTCTACAGCTTTTCCCCTTTCTCTCCTCTGCTTTTTCCTTCTTCCCGGGAGGGTCTGTGCAGTCTCCACCTTTTCAGTCTGATTCTATACCACTGTTTGCTAGAGACACAAAGCAATGGGAGCAGTAATCTGCAGAAATGCAATCAATTTACAAGGCTCCTGCTGTTTTCCCTTAGCTCAACAACTACTAAGAGCACATGGGTAGAACTCTTTGCACAGCCAGTCTTGGTCTTTATTGCCCTCCTTCCCAGCTGTTCGCTGTGCACTCATGTATTTCAGAGTGTGTTTTATCCTTCCTGCTGCAACCTTCAGCTTTTGCAAAAGAAACTTCTTCAAATAGGAGCCAGGTTTTCTTGGCAGGAGAAAGGAGAGATTGGAATGGCTAAAGGTTTTTGTGATACTTGAAATAAGTATGGAGCTTTTGATCTACAACTCCAGAACAGCAAGACAAGTGCTGTCATTGTGGGGAGAGAAGCTGTATGGAGTTCGTATGGCAAGGTTTTGACAGCAGGGATGGCTTCTATAAGATGCAGCTAGAAACTTCTTCCATGTCCAATAGAGCGAATGCCAGCTGCTCCAAGTCAGACCTGCTGTTGGCCAAGGTTGTGCCCATCCGTGATGGTGGTACTGCTTCCACGATAGTATTTAAGAAGGGGAAAAAGTTAACACACAGAAGCAATGGCAGCTGGAGAAAGGAGTAAGAATATGTGAGAGAAACAGCTCTGCAGACACCAAGGTCAGTGAAGGATGGGAGGAGGTGCTCCAGAACAGAGATTTTGCTGCAGCCTGTGGTGCAGACCATGGTGAGGCTGTGCCCCTGCAGCCCATATTGGTCCACAATGGAGCAGATACCCACCCACAGCCCATGGAGGACCTCACGCTGGAGCAGGGGGATGCCCAAAGGAGGCTGTGACCCCGGGGCAGCCCGCACTGGAGCAGGCTCCTGGCAGGAGCTGTGGCCCTGTGGAGAGAGGAGCTTGTGCTGGAGCAGGTTTGCTGCTGGACTGGTGATCCCATGGAAGGGACCCACACTGGAGCAGTCTATTCCTGAAGGGCTGCACCCATGGAAGGGACCCATTCTGGAGAAGTCTGTTCCTGAAGGGCTGCACCCATGGAAGGGACCCATGCTGGAGCAGTTCATGGAGAACTGCAGCCCGTGGGAAGGACTCATATTGGAGAGTTCATGGAGGACTGTCTCCTGTGGGAGGGACCCCACACTGGGGCAGGGGAAGAGTGTAAGGAGTGCTAAGGAAGAAGGAGTGGCAGAGCCAACTTGTAATGAACTGACCACAGCTCCC